TTCTGGAGTAAAAAAGGGATGACCCTTTCAGGGAATGTACAGAGAGTCAACTATTTTTCTCTGTCGAGTAAATCTTCTTCTTTAATTTTATCCTCATTTTTTACTTTACTGAAAAGGTTGACTACCTCTTTTTTAGGTACCATTTTTGGATCCAGCAAACACTCTCCTCAATCCGATCCTGCCTCTTACACCTGCTGACTACGAAGAGTTCGGGTACCCTGGGGACATTGATGACTTTCAGGCAATACGTAAATATTCACCTTATGATAACATTCAGAAAGATATTTTATATCCAGCTATTCTGGTGACCTCTTCATTCAACACGAGGTAAGGTCCAAAGTTTTTCTCAGGGTTTCTGTAGATTGTTGGCTGATTCACTTCCTCTGGTTTGTTTAATGGAACAAGTTCCTTGTACAAATATGTGGCCATCGTCTAAAGCCATGTCTTTTACACTATAACATTAAGTTCGAGTTACAACTTACAACAAACTTTAGGAAAACACTCCATTTTATAAATGGGACTTTGCTTTTAGTTGACAACTTTTACTTGGAGATTCATAAATCCTGTGTTAGCACTTAGGGGTCGTTTGGTAGGAGGTATGAGGAAAAATAATGCAAGCATTAGCTTTGTGCATTACTAATACCATGTTTGGTATATTTTTTCAACCTTTGTATAACTAATAAACATTATACTTGATATTATGCTATGTATAAGCAATGCATAGGAAACCATGACATTAGTAATGCAAGGGTTTTTAATGCTTGCATAAACATGGTTAAAGACCTAGTTGCCCCCCTCAAATCCCAAATAAAAGTCTTTCCCCATATTATTAGCAAACAGATTTCCTCTGTACGCTTTGGCCATGGAAAAGCACAGTTGAATGCAGCCAAATCCTCCTCTTCTTCATTTTCCTCTTCAGATATCAAATTGACGTGTACAGGTGCCATGATTCACCATGGAACCTATAAATCTTTAATTTTGGTTGGACTATCGACTATCAATTTTATCAGTTTGCCTTTTGTAAAAAAAAAAAAGTAAACTTGTTATAGCTTGATTCTTTGACAGTACTAATTTATTTATTTTTGCATTATTATTTTGGTACTGATCCATATACGTGAATGGATCACTTAAAAGAGCCTCAACCTTTCTTGTTCTGTTGTCTTAAAGTCAATTTTTATAGCTAAAGTCAAAAATTATGGAGCGTACTTTTGTAAACACCCAATTTTTAAAAAATTATGCTATGTTTTAATACACCAAACCAAACAGTGGATAAAAAATAATCTCAGCATAACTAATGCCAGCATTACTAATACCAGCATTACTAATACACTCTACTCAGCATTATTCTTATACCTCCTACCAAACGACCCCTTAGCACTTTAGCAGCCTCTTCGAGGTCATCATAATCATCGTTATTTGCGTGTTTATTTGTCCCTTGATATTTACTGTTCAAGCAGTTTATGTGATTCCTCTCCATCTATATGATAATTCTTAGGTGGAACAGGTGTTAAACCATCTCCAGTCTTATCCACCCATCATGGCGTAGTAGGTGTTTTTCTTTCTCTTACGTCCCTCATGTGTTACAGTACTATGATTGACAACTAGGACTGACCAGGTGTAAAGAACCTGATCCACTAAGAATTGTTCCAAGCTGTAAATTAAGTGAACTAACATCCTTTTGCATGGGTTACAAAGAATTGTTCTAAGCTGTAAACTAAGTTAACTATAATCCTTTTGCATAAGTTATAAAGAATTGTTCCAAGGCCATAACGTAAGTGAACTGTCATCGTTTTGCATAATAATGTGGAAATAATAGCAGCTCATTGTGTTGTGAAGTCCTCATAATCTTCCATGATTTTTCAGGTTTGGAGTATGGGAAGCTGCAAAATATGTTGCTCGGGTGCGTGAATATTCTGTGTATGATCCTAAACATCCAGTATTGCTTAATTTGACGGCTGATATAGTTGAAGAAAATAGATACTTGCGCTGCAAGGAGTCAGCGCTGGAGACGGCTTTCCTTATCAAGATGATGGAATCATAGCTACTTGTGTTTTGTTTATTAATTTCATGTAAGATAGAAAAGCTTATACCCATAGGATTCTAACTTGTTTTTTTCCACCTTCCTATTAATCCAGATTGTAATACACTTTAGAGCAGTGGATACCTACTAATCTTGTCCTTTATAGGCAAAGGTGCTCACCAGAAAGGAATCTCCTTTAATCTTGCCATACTCTTGTACATCTAATTAGAGCTGTTGTTATTGAAAAGTGCGGTGCTTCTTTGGATGAATGACGACTTTTCAAAAAGGTGGTTTGGTCTGATTGTATTCAAGATTATGACTTAGTTGTCGATAAAGTGGGTGAAAATCATTGGAGATTAGAATTTTAATCTCTATAGTAAAAAAACTCCTTCTCATCTGTCTAAGTCTTGATCTATAGAGTTATTTAGTAAGTAGTACTTATGTTGGTGAAAGATAGCAAGTATTCGGTAGAATAGTCCAGCGTGCAAGTTGGTTTAGATACTAGTCTTATAAAAGAAGTGGTTTGGCCTGATTTTGTTGTTGAAGAGATTACGATGAAAATTGTGGCCTGAGATGCATTAAGCTAATTGCTAAAGATATTGGTGATTACTAAGTCCCAAATATACATTGCTGGCGCCTCTTGGATTGTTAGTGTGTCTAAATTTGTCAACGCTTCGTTGTCACTCAACTACCTCCAAATATGAAAATGCTTCTTCAACTAGATGACTACCAAATCCTATCAACCAATTTGTCTAACGTGGATCCATCTTCACTATTTTATTGCCTGTTGTTTTGAGATAATAAACACCCGCCAGGATAGAAAAAGCAAATATATAAGTGAATAAGCACAGCGTTAAGAGGGGGAATTATGAATCATTGAAATGAATATGTATAAATACCATCACAAAAAGTGGGTGAAAAAAAAAAGGAAAATATCTATAAACTAATATTTCATATAATCTATTGTTATGTGTATATGTATATATTTTATAGGTTTGATCCGTTATTTGTTTAATATTAAAAACAGACCACATATTGTCATTTTCTTTTTAATTTAACACCAAATTAAACCAAAATATATGCAAGTTTTATGTTCGATTTGATCTTGATAATTTTGTTTTTTTGGGTTAGAAACCTATACGTTTGTATAGGGTAGTTGTGAGTCTTATGATATTTAGAGAACTAGTTTAGAGAATTATTAAGTTGTCTTAAAATATAAAATATTAAATGTTTGAATAATATGAACCTGAATAGAATGAAACGAATAGAAATGATTCATATAAACGATTCATATAACTAGCTCCAACAAGTTTAGTTTACCTTAAAAGAGTAGTAAATTATGTAATTTATTTGATAAATGAGCCCACATAGAATAAAATAGACATATATAATCCTCAACTAGTTTGAGACGAGATAAAGATTGATTGACAGATAGTGCAGTAAAATGGGAAACATGATTTTCGCATAACGTTGGGCAGGTTTAGTTTTTATGCCTAACGATGAAACGCAATGATTCCCATCAAAGAAAGGTGCATCTTTTGCAATTTGGGACCTCCCAAAGGGGAAAACGGAATCTACTAAAACCCAAAGAATAGAAAAAAAAAAAAAAAGATTAGTACAATGATACAAGACCTCACTATTATCTCTGTGGCAAACAAAACTCAATGGGTGTGGCCCACCTACAATAATTAGCATTACTGATAATCAAAGGCCCCTTTACTTCAAATCATTCACTCCTTATTCGGCTTTTCTTTTTTATCTTTTGTGGGGGGGAAGAACACAGGGGCATTGAGGTGTAAAGAGAAATTTTTTATTTTGTGTCTCATACAACTCAACTGCCACTAGTTGTATGAGGCAACCTTTTTGTCTCACAGTTTTGTGACCCAAATTTCTGTGGACCCAGAAGTGTAAGATTGGGATCCACAAATTTGTGAGACAAAAAGGAACCTCATACAACTAGTGTCAGTTGTATGAGACACAAAATAAAATTTCTCTGTGTAAAGAATGGACAAAAGGAGCTGATGCATACTTAAGTTAGATGCCTATCATATCTGAATATAAAAGACTTAATTATACCATTTGAGTCAAACAATGTAAGCGCCATGATTTATCCCAAATATGGCAGTCTTTTTCAATCTTCTCTTGGAAATCTTAAAATTTACATGATCCAATTCTAATACTGATTCTTCTTTGAGAAGGAAAAAAAACAACCCTATTGCTTTATGACCAATAGCCAGCAACCTTATAGCATATATATGGACAGTTAAGATTCATATTACCGACCCCATATTGCTTGGGACTGAGGTATAGTTGATGTTGTTGTGCTTTCAAGTGTATTGTTGAGAATTTGAGATACATTCAAAGAGTTGAGTTATCTCCTAGTAGTAATTTAACCTTGACATGTTTTTCTAATATACTATGTCAAAGAAACCCCATAGAATTTATTCAGATGAAAATATGACAGCAGAATTATCATAAGGAGTCAAAATGTTTCTAAAAAAATCTCTCTGTTTTTCTTAATTCTGCTATCAAGGTTGATGCTTTTACTGCCAGGCAATTTTACATAGACAGCATGACTCTCTCTAACATTAATTGCCTATAGAAGGCATTCAACTCACTAAACATGGAACTTGGTCAAGTGACCATGAATTTCTAAATACGAAGGGTGTCAAAAAATTCCTTGGAGCAACAGTAAAGTTGTCTCCATATGACCTATAGGTCACGGGTTCAAGCCGTAGAAGCAGCCACTAATACTTGCATTAGGGTAGGTTGTCTACATCACACTCCTTGGGTGCGGCCCTTCCCCGGACCCTACGTGAATGTGGGATGCTTTGCGCACCGGGCTCCCTTGAAGGGTGTCAAAATCATTCAGATGGACACTGAGCAGTAAGAATACTGTTTACTTTGATAGTAGCATACTGGACATTATGAATATACTTTTTGACAAAATTATGCTGATAGCAAGAACTTGATGCAGGAGTAAAGACAAGAGACTGTATAATAGACTGAGCAAGCATGAATGATCATTATACACAGCTGAGAAGCAATAGGGCAAATGGTGGAAAGGGATCATTTAACCCTGCTTATATCTGCTTTGGTTCATCATGATTCATGACTACCTGAGAAAATACAGATTTCTAACTCCCAACTCTACAGGAACTCCAAAAAAGGTAAAGAAAGAAACATTCAAGCAATTAAAAACAAGAATGAAAAAAATTCTCCCACATGCATCGAAAAAGAGACAGGGGGGGGGCAAAAGAATACATCTCAGACCTTTTCATTGTTTCTCTTGCACCTGAACTTTCATCAGAGTGAACCCACTGTCGGCGATACATCCCTGCATCTTAGGTAAGGAACAAAAGGAGCAAAAGCTATTAAACCAGCCTCCAGCTTCATGCCTCGGTGTCTTCTTCTGCAACAGGCGGGAGTCCAGCTTCTTTAATAAAGCCAGGGTCAAGAAATTTAGCCACAAAAGCCCACAACTTATAGACATCAGTAAAATTAGTGAGGAAGCCAAGTGAAGCAGTGACAACTTCGACTCTGACAAACCCACTTCTACCGTCATGCTTGCCATTTTCCATTGGTTTGCAAAGGGTAGTGTCATCAAGACTCAGAGATCGTTGCTGCTGTTTTGGGCTGTCTAAGATCCGTATATGACTTAAGATACCAATGCCCAAAGAGATACCATGTGCCTCACCCACTTTCTGAACTATTTCAGGACTCACGAGGCCCCTGTTTCTGTCTCGCACATTGAATGCAACAGCTGCACCCCTCTCATATTTGATTTTCGGACCATAGATGCGAACTAGCCGTGAACTGTCTTCCCCATTTGAACCAGGAAATCTTAACTGAAGCAACGAGGTAACTAGCCAATTGATGAGATATCTTAGCCGGAGAGTAGTTTTATTGAGACCTAACATGTTTATGTGATCAAGATGCCTGCATGCTATCTCGGGTTCTCTCCTGTCTGAGTCTTGCCCGTCGTCATAATCCCCATCACTAAGGTACTCGTCATCATCCAAACTTGTCGCTAACAATTCCCCAGGCTCAAGTGTATGGCTCAGGCGAGGTTTAAGGTTGTCTTCCATGCTGAAGGATACACGTCTTCCCCGGCTTCCAGGCTGATCAGCATCTTCTATACCAAAAAATCTACCTCCTGCATATCTGTTTCCTTCTCTCCTTTCCAATAACCTGAACTCACCTTCAGTTTCTCTTCTTATAGCACTCTCTTTAATCTCCGCGCATATCTCAGAGATTGATCCATTATCAAGGATTTGATGCCGAGAAATTGAAGTTGAGTTGTCCAGACCAGATCCCCTTACAGAAGAAATCAACATGTGACCCTGTTTGCTGGTCTCTGGTTCTTCCTCGATCTCTGGGCTTCTCTTATCAAATTGGTCTTCTTCAGGAATCTCCTTGAAGTGGTCGAATTCTTGAGACACCGACCGAACAGCTGCATCAAATGATAGCACATGGTTGTCCTCATGCCGCCCTGTGTCATACAATGGGCTGCTTGATATCTTTGAAGGCTTGGGAGAGAGCCTTTTATTATTCTTCCTGCCAGCAAACCAAAATGGGGGTGCTGGAGAGGCAATCTTTTGTTTGTTGGATTGCCCAGCACCGTCCGATCCCAAGGGGCTCTGGCCCAAGTCAATCCACAGGGAGTTATCAGATGATTCATCTTCACTAAAGACTGGACTTCTCATTACCTCCCCAACAGAAATGCTTTCAGTCTCTTCAAATATCGTGCTTGCTCCGTCCCTATCGGAGCTGTTGTCATGCTCCATCTCCGTCTCAAATACATCCCTGACCTGAGCAGAAGTGTAAGCACCAGAAAAGGCTGGCAACTGAGATCCTGGCCGAGTTTCAGCATTTGCTTCACTGTCCTCTCCCGCTTCATCATCCTCGGCCAATCCAGGGAAACCATCAACGGAGTCACTCAAATACAAGGGGAAAACAGGAGTAATTTTTACTATACCAGACCCAGCATGCCCCGACTGATTTTGAAGGCTTCCCATCACAGATTTTTTTATAAGAAGGCATCCAAATCCAGTTGGGTCATAACCAAACACCCTGTAGAATGAAGTAACTATAAAGTCCGGCCGGAATAAAGACAATCCTAGAGAATCCATGTCTTTTGGACCAAGAGCGCCAGCATCAAGCAACACATGCCAATTATTCTGCTGAGCCAGTGCCATCCACTGGTATGAGTACTTGGCACCAGTAACTCTAGATTGGACTGGGAAAACAAAGAGACCAGTAGCTGAATCTTTCTTTCTCCTCTTTTTGTTCGAAATTTGCTTCCTCAAATCAGTTGAACATAGTTTGAGGGTAGGCCATTTGAACCATGCACTATAAACCTTGGCACCTTTCTCTCTGGCACACTGACCCATCCAGTTAACCGACTGGCTCTCATGATCAAACATAGTCAACAACTTTTTGTTGGTCTGAAAAGGGTATGATTCAGCTAACAACTTAAAAGCCGAGCCCCTACTCACAGTAAAAACAAGACCATACTCATTCTCAGGGATGTTCAAGTAATCCATAATTCTAGTCTTAATATCATGTTCCACAGTGCCTTTCTCAGCACCCCCATACAAAGCATGATTGCTCAAATTAGCAGTAATCTCAGACAAGCTAAATGTAGATGACTCCCAGTAATGAACACTCTGAAGGAATGAAAACAACCCAAATCCACAGTAATCAAGACATACCTTAGGTGCAGAGCCAGAAAGGTGAGAGTACTCATCTGACCTCAGCTCATCAATCTTTTCCGAGGACTGGTACTTAGGATACATGGTCAAGAACTTAGAAAAGGCTTCATTTAGCTCAGGAATGGAGTCCTCAGATTCAAAAGTGCGCTCTGCAGCAAGAGCAGTGGCTTTCAAGAACTCTTTTTGGGCATGTAGCCTAGCGAGTGACCGGGATCGGCCCAAGCCTTCATCTTGGTTCTGTGCTGACAGGGAGTCCACATCTTGAGATTTAACAAGAGACCCATTTTCAGATGCTTCCTCAAGAGCCTCCCTCAGCTTATGCTCTTGCAATTTTTTCAGCACAGATGGGTTTTTCTTTACCTCTTCAGTGGTATGGTTAGACCCATTTCTCTTTCTGCTCTTTTTGTCCAAGATCAGAGAAGCACAGTGAGATATTGGCTTCCATAGTGAAAGATGCATTACAACCTTATTTTTTCTTTCTCTGTGTGTTAATCAATCACAGAGAGGACCCAAAAAAGGAGTGACTGAACAAAGCTTCACCAAAGACAAAGAAATAGTTTTTAGCCCATCTAACACTAAACCCCAGAAAAAGAAAGGCTTAGTACCCAAACCCTAACTTCTGGAAAAGCAAAGGAATCAAGATAAAAGCATCCCCCCCCCAAGAATCAAAACCTTTGCTTTCAAAAATCAAATGCACCCTAACTTAAGGAGGGAAAGTCCTAAAGCATTTGCCTTTACCAAAAACACAAAGACCAGATACTGGTATCAAAAGAATTGATTAAAAAATATACAAAATAGACCAGATCAAAGAAACCCTAATTTTGCCCTTTTTTGAAGATTGACACCAACCCAATAATCTTTGACTGAAATACTCAATCAATCAATTTCAGGTTCTTGAGGTGAGAAATTTCAACGAACAAGAATATTATAGAAGAAATTCAAGTTAACATTTGAAGGGGAAAAAACCTTAGACGGAACTTAAGATCCAAGACTCAAAGACTTAACTTTTACAAAACCCCACAATGTCCAAATCCAAAGTCAACCAGTTGAATGAAATTGGAAGAAACCCCAACACCCAAAAGTAAGCAACAAAGCAGATCTTCAAGAAATGGACACCAAAAGAACAGAGAAAGAGAGAGAGATTGAAGAAGAAGAAGAAGAAGAAGAAGAAGAATCTACACCTCCAAAACCTCCAGCTAATCCTCAATCAAAAGACACCTGAAAGTAGAGTTGAAAAAAAATACACTCTTCATATTACTATTATCTCTCACTAGGCTTATTTTTTCTTTTCTTTTTTTCTTTTTCTTTTGGGGTAAAGCCAATTAAAAGCAACAGTCTCAAAATGAAAGGAGCATTAATTGCAGTTCTGAGCCCAAAAGCATACCTCTATTGATTACACCAATACTCTCTTAATTTCTCTCTCCTTCTATCTATCTCTCTCTCTCTCTTTTTTGATCGACTCTATCTGGCTGTATCTCCACACTACATGTTGTAAATTGTACAACTACTTTTTTTTCTTCTCTATCTAACAAACAGTAAGAAATGACATTGACTTTCACATACACAGCCCCCCACTAAGAGATAAGTTGTGTGCTTCTCTCCTCTAATAATTTATTAATTTTGTTACTGAATTAATCAATTAGTTAATCAAGTGGGATAATATTAAAAGTTGGTTTTGCTGTGGTAACGTAGGGTCCACCTAATAGACGTTGCCTTTTAACGGTGATTTCTCAAGTCAAACAATTAGCTTAGCTTTTAAAAGCTGTTTTCTGTCTAATCCCACTATTTTCCAAATTCCAGCAAATCTTCAATCCTCTACCCTTTTTACCCTATTTTTTTTTTCTTTCTATGTTCGTTACCCGCTTTTGGATATTAAATTGGATTCACGTCGCCATTAATTCATTAAAGAGGAAAGTGCTTTTTAGTAGTGTTGGAAATAGAGTTTTCACCTAGGAAATTCAAAAAAAAAAAAGTCAAACACGCAAAAAAATTAAGGGGATTCAACGCCTAATATATATACATAAAAAAGATTTAATCTTATATATATTGCAATTTTCGGTGAAGGGGTTCAACTGAACTTCCTTCCGCCCACCTAGATCCGCCTCTGCTCTCTGGTCTAGCAAAATCCGTCCATTCTTAGGTCTCAAACCAAAAGTCCCTACTTAAGAATAGAATGATCGTATTCATCTCCTATAATCCAAGATTGGTCCTTTTGGTATATTCACTTCTGAATGTACATTAAAATAAAGAGATTAAAATTGAACAAGATTCAGGTTCACCTTCTGGATCGAAGAATTTTTCAATAATTTATTTCTTTTAGTGAGTCTATATATCCAATATGAATTTGAATTAGTTGAATAACTGGATTTTGAATATCGTATTATTAACGGGGAAAAAGACTTTAAAGTTTGTCCATTTACTATTTTTTAAGTATAAATAAATATATATACACAATCATGCTACATAAACGTTAATTAGACATAAGTGTCTATAAATATAAAAGGGAAATTACCAGCTATGTTCATTTATAAGTAGCTCATTACAAAAATTGGTCAATTGATAAAATATTACTAATATTAGCCAATTAGCTATTTGTAGCAAAAAATATCAAATTTTTGCTTTGTTTTAAGTGGATGTTATTAGAATAGATTGGGCACAACTTAAGGAGCTTGAATCTCAGTTTTGGGATGATTTGGTGAAGTTTTGAGGTGGTTTGAATTGAAAACTCGAAGTAAAAGTTGAACATGAAAAAAAATGATATGCGTATCACACTGTGTATTATTTGTGTATCACATATGTATCATATTTGTATCAATTGTGTATCACATGTATATCCATGTATACCTGTGTGTGTGATACATGCGTGATACATGTTTGATACATGTGTCGCAGAAGACTTTTTTGAACTCGATTTAATTACGAATTTTGATACAAAACCAGTCCAAATCACCTCCAATCTTCCTCAAATTTTGTATATTGACTTTTCTATATATTTTCAATGAATTTCAACTATACCCATTGAAAAAGTTCCTTTTTTTATTTAGATTTTTGGAATATTGTATAGATTTTTGTATTTCATCACCTTATTTGCTACCCCGTCCATGAAATTTCCTTTCCGTCTTGTATCTAATTACGCTTAAAAATATGGAAGGTGATTTTTGCATGTGATTCTTTGAGAGAAAGAACCCTATTATTTGGTTTTTCAATTTTTGTTGGCTAGTTTTGATAAGTCTATGACTAATGGCTAGAGGTTGGTAAGTTGAGATTTATTTGGGACATTGGTGTAAGTTTCCTATATACTGCTCATAAAGAACCAAGTCCATTTCGGTAATCAGTTGGTGCTCCAACTTTCAAACCATCAGTATTTATTTCTGTACTTATAAATACTGAAGTTCATTATTTGCAAGTATTGATTTAGTCATCAGTATCTATATAAAATCTTGAGCCTCGTTTTTTGAAATATTGATAAATTTAAAGTGAAATATTATTTTTCTCTAATAAAATTTTAATTTTATTCCACATGAAATTAATGTCAAAGTACAAGTTGTCCTAATGCAAGAGTTTTATTGTCCTATGGGTAGAGCCGCCCGTGAACAAATTCTCAAACAATTTGGATAAGCAATTCAAGTACAATCCAGTATCAGAAGCATTGCAAAAGTAGTATTTGAAGTTGCAGTTGAAAAAAATATTTGGAAGCTTCTTAAACTATTCTATTCGATATAAGATATGTAACTCAAAAGATTATTACTCTGTAATATTTTAACCAATTATCAATCACATGTTTCTTTCTTTATACTGTTTTTAGTGACTTGGTTGAGGTAATTATGGATCAAAATGGAAGATAATTAAAACTGGAAGTCACTTGTTGCTTCTCTGCTCTTATTCACTAAAACTTTCTTTCCTCTTATACACTAAAACTAAATTGAATCAATTTTTCTTTATAACTTTGGCTTTGTAAAGTTTCTTCTTCAAGGTCACAGTATACCCACTTGATAGATACAAAATATATGCATTTGAAATGAGACTACAATTTGTATTAGTGATATTAGCTCGTCTATCAATTACATAATTCTTACTTTACTGTTTTTATGAATTTGGCTGAAATAATTACAAATGAAAGTAGGAAATAATTAAAATTACAGTTATTTCCTGCTTCTTCCATCTTATTCATTTAAACTTAATTGAGTCAATTCTTTTCCAACTTTGAACTTTGTAAAATTTCTTCTTTCATTAGACAAGCTCCAACTTACTTAGATCAGGAGTATTTAATATACTTAATAAGATAAAAAGACACCATTATTTTCAAATGCCTATATTGGTTATAGAATAATGTTAACAATTGCCTCAGTTGGAATAAGTTTTTAAAAATTAATAACATCTTACTTAAGATGAGCATAAGATGAGCAATATTTCAAGAAAACTTGCATTGAATATATTACCAATTGAAAACATTAGCACCCTAGTTTCCAACGGGGGACATACAAGGGGGCAAAACTGGGCAGGGTTACGGGAATGATATGCATAACGGGGCTGGGCCGGATGGGGGTAGGGAAAGCTCTATGGCACGGGGTAGGGAGCAAGTGGGTGGATAGGATATGAAATGGTGGTCTTGGCGCCAAAAGAAGTTATTGAACCAATGAACTAGGGTCCAATCTTTTTGCAGCTACAGCCACTACTTCCGAGCTCTGCTTTTCCGTCAGCCCTCCCTCAGCCACCATTCTCGGTCATCTCATTCCAAAATCATTCGCACGAAATGTTTTTAAGTTCTCCCTTAGAAATCAGTTCAACGAGAGGTGACCGCGACTGACGTGCAATGCATACGTTGCATCCTTGTTTCTGTTCTGATGGAAACAACAGAGGTAAATGAAAATCAAGCAGCAAAGGTAAACCAGGGCGGGGTTTGGGAGCTTTTCAGGGTCGGGGCAGGGTGGAAGCAGAGGGGAACAAAGGGACAGAAATCCAAGGGGCTGTGCTGTACCTTCACTGCAACTGCTACTATAAGCTCCCTTCACTAGATCTGCTGCTCCCAGAGGCGCATGCTAGATTCCGTTGATCATAAAACTTTAGGCATTAACTTTTCCATCAATATCCCAGAATTAAGTGATCTCATGCAAACTATGTCGCAACTGATCACATCCTGGCCAAATCGCGACCATCTCCAATGCGACATTACATCATAAATCAAATTAATGGAACAACAAGAAATTGTCAACACTTTGTATATAAATCATCTGATTCAAAAGCCGGTGTACCAAAAAGAGACCCCCTTTAACCTCTACATTTGTGGAGCTGGATAGGACTGACCATAGTAAGCAGGAGCTTGAGGGGTGCTCGATGTGTATACTTGTGGGTACGATGACATCATTTGAGCTTCTTGGTTACTGCAAATATAGAATAGACTATTGTCATTTCATGATAACCAAAAAAATAGCCTTCCACCAGTGGATAGACATCCTATCATGTCAACTAAGTCAACAACAGACCCAGTGTAATCCCACAAGTGGAAACTGGGGAGGGTAGTATGTACGTATACCTTACCCCTACCTTCAAAAAGGCATGTCAACTAAGTCATTGATCTAAAAATAAACTCTGACAGAGCTAATTATTAAGTCCAATTGAGCATGAGAAAAATATATCATAATCACCTTAGGGTTCAGTGTCAGACTACAACGTTAGCATATCAAAAAATTCGCTTATTTTACTATGACAGATCAAAAATAATAGCAACTTTGTGATAGTAAGATTGTTGGGGCAAGGAAATGATAATTAGTTTTCTGAAGGACAATTAGAAGTGCAGTGATAATGGGATAACAATCAGGTTTTATAACTACCTGTTCATATAAAGTCCATGACCGTGACTATATCCTTGCATCAGAGTAGCAGATGGGTCTGGTCTGCATCAAGCAACATAATAGTTAAGACACCACACAGAAGTCCCAATTATTCATTTAAAAGTCTAAACCAATTACAAGTTATACGGCACATAAAATTACATTTGTTGTTGCAACTGCACTGACTGCTGCAGTTGCATTGACTGTTGCAGGTGCACTGACTGCTGCAGCTGCATTGTCTGCTGTAGCTGCATTGTCTCCTGTAGCTGCTCACCACCAGCTTGTAACATCAACTGGGAATAGACATATTCATCAACTCGTTGCTTAGCAAGGGCGACCTGTCGAAAAGAGAATTAAATTCAAGCATATGCTACAGGACCAGAAATTCTTGATATCCCATCATTCCCCTATTTCACAGGTAAACTAGTGAAAATTACAAGACGCTAGCGGAAGATTTTTACAGTTATTCTAAGATCAAATCCTCCAAGACAGTTTCATTTTAGAAGTGAATGTTAGCGAATCTAGGAATGTACACAACCGCGTATCACAAAAAGATAACTACTAAAATAAGATTACAAGAAGTCAGCATAAACAAACCGAAAGAAGTGAGAAATAAAAATTAAGCTTCACCTGTTGTGCATTACCACCCAGATGGACTTGTCTTTGTTTCTGTTCGCCTTTCCCACCATGTACCTAACATACAAGACCAAAAACATTAAAACATAAAAGCAA